GGGACAGTGTGGTTTTTAGTCAACAAGAGTCTGATACTCCCTCTCCCCTCACCCAAGGCGGAAGAAGTGGTTTGAAGAATTTCACCTTACAAAAAAAAGTGAATACTTGAAGTGATTAGTACAAGAATCGTAGTATTATGAAGGCGTTGTATTGAAAATAGTCGACCAGCCTTTATCACATTATTAAGCTTAAAATAAATTTACTAAGCATTATCTTACAATAGTTCAACCAAAATATTTCTTGTCCCTTGTTTTCTTATACATAGAAGATATAAATTTTCCAGTCTTCCCACACCGGTTTACTGGAACTTGCAGTGTTTGGGAAGTTAAGCTGTGTTCTGTACTGTGATATAAAGTTTCTTAATAAACTAGTGTTACTTCTACTGAGTTTTCGGCGTGAGTTATGGATGAATGCGAGTCTACGAATGTTTTCTCACTAGCTTCTTGAAATATTACGGCGGGAAGTTGTCTTTGTTTTTACAATTAAAATGTTGAACTTATGTATTCTATGTTGTTGTTCTGTTAATATACACAGTCCTTGTGTGATCTTTTTTATATATACTACCTTCTGTTAACGTCTTTCCTATATCTAATTTCAGACTAAAATATTTAATAAATATCATCAGTTTTTGTGCGAAATAGTTACAAACAGGATCCTCACTTCATCCTCAGTATGAGATACATCTATCAATGTAAATGCTACCAATATTTTATATGCGAAAGTTTGTGAGTACCAACGGACGGATGGATGGATAGATACATGTTTGTTACTCTTGTTTGTTTAAAAACGGAACTGAATGAAATTTAGCTTATGTTTAAATTGAAGTCTGGAATAACAAATTGACATCTTTACGAGCTATTAATTGCTAACGGGAAAACAAAACAAGTATAAATTTCACTAGATATTTCACATGAAACAAAACTGGCACTATTAAACTTTGAAATAAAAGTTACATTTGAGGTGATACGAATTTTGTTGCTAGATCAGCTGTTTAAAAATAATAATTGCCTAGTGTTGGTTAATGATCAGTACAATCAATCTTATGGGGAATTGGCAAAAATTGACTTCTTTCCAAATTCACCAACAGCCCGTATCAGTAATATTCTAACAATAAAAAAACCACTTCACCAAAATGTCCCAATTTATCAAGCCTAGGTGTACATATTACTGTTGGTTGTAAACCTACACAAATATAATCATTGAATCATCGATACAGCACAATGTCAATACTAGACACCGATGCCTTATCACCGCCGATATGTTATCTAGTCTTATCACCGCTGATCCAATTTTACTCGTGTTCAAGAAACATGGTTTGAAGTATCAAAGTCATCTTGGTTTTGCTAAGAAAAGAGAATGAGGATTGCAACTAGCAATTTTGTTATGGAAATTCTGTTTTTATTTAGTTTTAATTTTGAGAGAAAATTACATTTTCCATTAGATTAGGTACCTTGGTTAACTAGAATTAAGTGTGGGAGAGCCATGCTTCGGCACGTATGGGTCGGCTCGACCGGAGTGATACCACGGCCTCACAGAAAACCGGCGTGAAATAACCACATCGTTGTGTTTCGCCGTGTGAGTGAGGTTACCGGAGGCCCAATCCTTCCCCTCCCAAATCCCTAATCCCTAAAAGGTCGGCAACGCACTCGTAACTCGTCCGTTGCGAGTGTCCATGGGTGACGCTGATTGCTTACCATCAGGTAATCCGTCTGCTCGTTTGTCGACCTATTACATAAAAAAAATCTGTATAGAGATTTTTTCTGACTATTGTCCATCGCGGTTATGTTTTGAAAAAACTTATCTTCGATGTTGATAACATATTTATACGTCTATCTCCTATAAAACTTTACTATCATATATGCCATTGTTTTTCATCACAAAAATAAGTATTCCTAGCCACCCGCCCCGGCTTCGCACGGGTTCCCAATTTCTCCACTATTATAGTGCATGTTATTATACATATAACCATCCTCATCAATCGTTCCAACTATCAAAAAAAACCTAAGCAAAATCCGTTGCGTAATTTCAAAGTTTTAAGCATACATAGAGATAAACACAGAAAAATCGACTTTGTTTTATACTATGTAGTGATTACTTTTTAGTCTTACGTAAAACATGGCATGACGGACGATAGTTTAAAAACTTTTATCCTTTAAAACGATACAAAAATATTTTATCTCTCAACATCTAAATAGCCTATACCAATTTTTCTAACACGAATACAAACAGACACATGTCTCCCTTCACCTACCTAAGTATACCGATGACCGGACATGCAAGTGACGTAGTTTCCGGTGTCGCCTAGCTACTGTCACTAACTTTGCTCCCAGTGACACGTCCGCAGCGGATACTCGCGTCATATCCGGATATCACGTCATACAGCATGTTTCAGATTTAAAACTAGATATTCTAATATTTTTTTATGTAAGCGTGTCCAAGTTCGATCGTGCTCTGTGATTGGATATTTGAATCAATCTTTATAGTTCTATCAAACGACAATGATGTGTCTTGTATATATTCAAGATATTTTTTATTTGAAATTAGTTCGTTTTTGTGTACTATTTCTTGTATATTTGGTGGTTAGCGATGATGTGGCTTACAATAAGCAAATCTTGTATTAACATCGCTAATCCTTTTTTTTGTCAGGGGAAAATCATCCAATGAGTTCTCCCGCCCAGGGTAAGGCGAGTGGTGCCTCATTGCGCTTACTCCGCATCCCAACGATTTATTTCGGTTTCATATATCTAAATTAGGATTCATATCAACATAAGAACCAGCTTCCAACGAATTTTCAAAACTGCTACATGCAAAAATAAACATACTAAGCTCTATGTAACAAACACTTCAAATATACCTGCGCGTGTATCGAAAAGCACTCTACAGATTAAAAAAACATTCCAATCGAAAATCGCACGTGTCCAATTTGCTCCACGTTCGAAGTAAAGTCCTTTATGAACGAGTTATGATGACCATCCAAATACAAAAACAACCGAGAGAGGTTCTATAGCTCGATGACTTTCGAACCACAGTTTGAATTCAGAATTCCACAAACATTAGCAACCGAATTCTCGAATACTCCAAATTTTTCCAAGTTCCATATCGAGTTTGAATAGAACCGAACTCGTTTGGTTCCGAAAGCTTTTTCTCGCTCTTATTTAGACGAAAACAAAGGGTTCCATTGTGGTATCGTCCGGTACCGTATCTTTCATCCAACACCAAAGGAAATTTTGTCGATAATGCCAGTTGAGAGGCACAATGTAACATGGGAAGTGAATGAAAAATTGGAAAGCCTGTCGAACAAAAGGTTGTAATAAAAAGAACTCAATTTTTTGAACTCGTTTAAACATATAAGGTGGTTCATAAGAACTTCTGAAGAGGTTACACGCGCTTTTAAAGGTGCTCCTGTGTGAAGAGAATCCGTTTGAAGATATTTTTAAGAATATAATATTACATGTGCCTCCATTATAATTACTTAGTGCGTGAATGAATAAAAGTCTGATTAAAAACGCTCGATGTCACATGTTTGCCGCTTCAGAGGATTTTTATAATACTTCAGAAGATATGGCGTTCATGAGAGAAAGAAAACCAGTAAACAAATACATTTATTCATATTTCAATTACTAAAAGATTTATAAATAAAGTAGATCCACTATAAAGGCTATAACCAAAAGCACTTTAGCCCTCAGTTATAAAATAATAGACGATTACGTCACAATAATCTCAGTATTACATTTATCCAGAAATGTAAGTGCTACTCAGAAAAACGACTGGCAATATCTTACCGCGTTAATATTCTACGTAATCGCGGCTAGCATAATATGGACACTCTCGTGTGTACGATAAAATGTAACTGCTAAACAACAAGTCACTTTATGCCGTAATAAATCTGGACGTCCATCTTCCCGCCAGACTATAGCCTAAGCTTAGGGAATGACCTTCCTTATTTATGTCTGCCTAAATTAACTTACAAATGCTAGCTGGCTAGATTATTACTTATTTCTGCCAAGCCAAATTTTCTCAAATAGTTGCAAGATTAATAAGATCGATTTTGTCATGATAAATGACAGGCAAATGTAGATATTCACACATTACGACAATATAATTTAAAATAAAAACTTATGCAAAGAACTTTCAGATAATTATATAAACTTCCATAACAAGTCATCTCCAAGATTCTCACTTGTAATTCAATAAACTAGCGACATCAAACAAATCGTGAACGCCAGATCTCTAGGGAATTCAGCAAATAATGTAGTTAGGCGCAATTGTGGCTGCGGAAAATCACAATGTCGCACCGTTGTCGCAATGTCGCTGTCGCCCCCCTACAACGAGCGCCGACGTTCTCCATAGCTTATTTCTCTGTAAAGCAATGCAATTTCGTTTTGCAAATAAACGAAAAAAAAGCTTTGTTTCTGTTTAGAGACCCGTATGCTGATGTCGACGGGATATGTTTTAGGCGCGTTATCAGTGGCTAAATAAAATTAAAACTTGTTAAATTGGGATAACAAAATCAGATTTCTTTTAATTTCGATGTCGAACTCAAGTAAGTACTTACTTACAAAAAAATAGAAAATCCAATCCAAACTAATATTATAAATGCGAAAGTAACTTGGTCTGTCTGCCTTTTCTTTACGCCTAAACTACTGAACCGATTTCTGTGAAATTTGGTACAGGCTTAGTTTGGAACTGGAGAAAGGACATATGATAGTTTTTATACTAAAAATCTGAAGGAAGTCACTATTTCACGCGAACGGAGTCGCGAGTAAAGGCTAGTCTCTTTACAATTTAAATTGACGAAAAAGTTAATCCTGTAACAGTTTTTTTTGTTACATATGGTATAGTGTTCAGTGCAGAACCTTTAAAAATGTAACAAAACAACCTCTTTGCTCTATTTTCCCTTTTTTTCTATCTTTGCACACTGGGAAGTGTAATTACGTGGTGTGTGTTTGTAGTTGTGTATATATAGAGTTCTAACGACAGTGTTGTTTGTTTGTTACAGTTTTCCCGAATGTACCGGCCGCGCCGGGTATGCCATGCGCGGGTGAAGACAGTAAGTACCTCTATACTTGGGGAGACAGGGGATGGTTGTGACATGGGTAGCCAGTTTAATTTGAAAGCTTAAATAGAAAAAAATGTTATAGTTCAACTTTTGTTTTTTCATTGCACAAATAAGTGATGCGTTTAGTAACTACTTAGAAAAAAATAATTTATTTGAGGAAGTTTTTATCCATTTCATCAAATAATTTTCTAAAAATAATAACCATATGAAGCTTTTATTAGAATTTCTAAAGTAACAGTGGCATGATTTATTTTTTAACAACATGTGTCTGAATCTGTTATCTTCAATGCAAACAAATATTAGTCCATTAGTTGCAATTTTTCTACAAAACACTCAAGTTCATTGACCTTTTAATAAAGTCGCTTTTGTTAAAACTGATAATTATACACGCATTTGTGACTCGATAGACTGACAATTTAATTAAGAATTTAAAAAAGAATCAACCTTCCGCATTAATAATAACAGATGGCGCTAGTCTTAAACTTGCTATTTTGCTATAATACTAACAACAACGAGCCCCGGTCTCCCCTCTACCCTTCCCACACTAAGCTCATTACTTGCGACCTGTTCTCGTCTATTTTTGTTTTGTTTCCATTTCACGTGGCTCTGTTCTCACGAAGATTTGTAATGTGCCCTAATTGCTTGTTGTTAGGTCTTAGTTTAAAACTTGTCTAACAAACTAGATCGGTCTTAATTAAGTTCTAAATTGGAGAGTCAGTAAGAGCTTCATCTTATTTACTTAAAATATAGTAGAAGTTTTTTTTGTATTTTAACTTTCTTGAGACATATTAAAGTAAATTAATATATTACATTGTACATTGCTGTTTATGATTATGAGCCCCTAGCGTAACTTGAAACTAGTCGAGGATGCTCGTCAAATATATTTAATTACTTTAAAGAAGTTAATTAAAATACATTGAACAAGTCAACTTGAGTTGTATTTTTAATCATTTTTTTTAATAAATATTTAGCCTAAAATTAAATTAAGTAGGAACTAATTATTTGCTGAACGTTAAGATACAAATAAATAAACATAATAATTCAAATTTTCTATCAGCTGTTACATATTTATGTCCTAAAAGTATTTACAATAAACATATGCATATTTTCTAATCAAAATTAAATTTTACAAACTACCATTCCTAACATCTGGTAAAACTAGCTTTAAAATATTCAACGCGAACTCGTGAAAGTAGTAACAAATTTAACTAGTCTCAGCGTAGGAATCGGGGGAAGCGATATTTGTCAGCCGCGGCCAAACATTACCATGTGAATACGCTGAAATGATGCACATTATGGATGCCGACGAAGTGCGGGAAGGTATTCAGGCGTGTTTCGTACCATCATACCTATCATCATAATATTTTGTGCTTACGATTCAGCTTCTAGGAATTTAGCTTTCAATTTTTATGGAAACGTTCAACGTTGTACAGAAATAGGGGTGGTTTTCTATTTATCGTGCTTTTTTAAAAATACTGCTTTAGCTAAAAGGTCCTTAGCAAAACGGCCAAGATTGGTTGGATTCCTTGAGCAGGCAAAAAAAGTTTGAGTTATTGTTTCGTGAAGGCTGAAAAAATATTGAAAGTATATTAACTATATCGCCCATTAGTGTAAGCACTTAAATTACATGTTTAAAAGAATAAGTCTCAATTATTTTAATGAAAAAACCGTCGATGAAAACACTAACATTCGAAATACGATAGTTGATAGTCCCCTATTACTATTTATTGGTACAATTTAAAACAAAATCACTATAATACCACACTACACATAACCATTAAAACTGTTCCAAGCTCATCAACAATTAAAATACATAAAACATGTCTATTTCAAATGACATCATTTCAAATAGACATTTTCTAAACAGAAAAACTCAAAATAAGGTCTAAACAGACACAAACTAGACTCATTTTAGAAAACCCTACTCATTTTTCGTCCACATAATCAAAGCACCTCCGCAAACGGTGAACTCGACAGTTCGTCATATTTGCTAAAATCTCAAACGTTGATTAAAAGTACTTCAAGCGGTAGGTACATGAGGGGTAAGGGCGGGCCCGCATTACCGCGTTTCCATAACACCTCTCGATAATAATGTCGTTTTTTTCTGAGGACTAAAACCACATATGACCTACTAGCTTCCGCCCGCGGCTTCGCCCGCGGGGTATGTTGATAAAATGTAGCCTGTCTCCTATTCCGAAGTGTATCCTAAGCCTGTGCAAATTTCAATCAGATTCGTCCAGCCGTTTTGGCGTGGTTGAGTAACAGACATCCTAACATCGTAACTTTCGCATTTATAATATTAATGTGATAAGATAACATCCCGCACTGGCTAGGGTGAGATAGAGTGTCAGACTGTTACTGACTAAAAACCACCTCATTCCTTCTCCTGCTCCGAGCTGGGGCTGCGGTAAATAAATTATTGCGGCTGGACATCAGCTCTGTTGGGCGACGTTTTAAGCTGTGTACTTCTTTAAGTGACAAATTCACCATGATAATCTATGTACTATTGTTTATGTTATATGTTATAGTGAATAAGTCGTTGGAGTACCTTTATATTAAAATAAATAAATAAAAAACGTCTGTAGAGGACTAATGGCTCTTTAAAGCGCGCGCGAACCTGGCGCGCCAAACTCCCTGTTCAGATCGCGAATCGCCCGTTCTTGAACTATACGGTTGACATATTGCCGTTTTGTACTCCACAAATGGTTCGTACTGGCTTCTAAACAAATTTCTTGAAGCCTAGTTCTTACTTGTTAAGGACACAATCAATACTATTTTTCTAATTGAAGTGACTTATATTATTGTATGCTACGTGGCAGAACAGTTACTAAGCGAAGTCTTTTTTGCGACGCATCGCCGTCCCCGCAACACAGTGTTGTGTCCTGGCCCTAGCTCTCCAGTAAACTTCCAGTGTATAAACGGCAGTTGTGTGTAATTCTGCCATTCTTGTGTAATTTTCTGTACACAGTGGTAGGTACGAGGTAAGCGCCATGTTTACAGTTCAGTGTGTAATCGTCCTTTGATGTAGGTGACTGGCGTGTTTGATCCTTTGCCATTGATTTCCGAGTTCCTGTTGTACGTTGACGCTATTTATGAATAGGCTTATATAATTTCAAATAATTATAGTGTAGTTATCATAGTAAGTAATCTGAAATTTATTAAGATTTTAGAATTTTAAGTTTTCGGCCGCCATCGTCAGTCAATTCTAACGACATTCACAGAAAAATAAATATTAGCTTCACACCCTTTTTTTGCTGACGGATGGAAACTTCAAAAGGCGCTTTTTGGAGAAAAAGACTAGGGATTGTAGGATTTTGACCTCAATAAGTGTGGGGGAGCCATACTTGGGCACGAATGGGTCGGCTCGACCGGAGTGATACCACGGCCTCACAGAATACCGGCGTGAAACAACTCACAGCGTTGTGTTTCGCCGTGTGAGTGAGGTTACCGGAGGCCCAATCCCTCCCCTTCCCCTATCCCTTCCCGATCCTTATATCCGCAACTCCTATCCCTAAAAGGCCGGCAACGCACTCGTTACTCCTTTGGTGTTGCGGGTGTCCATGTGCGCCGATTGGTTACCATCAGGTAATCTGTCTGTTCGTTTGCCGATATATACCATAAAAAAAAAAAAAAAACATCCTTGGGATGATGAAAAAATCTCCAAGGGACACCACACACATGGCGTGTAGATTACATAAATCGTATCGCATTGCATAATGTAGTTCTAATAGAAATGTATAATACTGGCTATCTAATATTAGTATAATTGAATTCAAAACGTTAAACATAATATATAACGTAAATAAATCTTTTAGTCCTCTAGTTGTTTTAATAGCAAAATGCAATTTGGCTCCCGGCACGAATGTCGGATAAATACAGTCGGTCGGGTGTTTGCTAAAATCTCGTTGTGAACAATGTCCAGTCTCCACCGCCACCACATTTACATACCAATGGATGTAATATTATTACATATAGTTGCAAATGTAAGCTCGTTTCTTTTTAAATACTTTATGGCATGGTTTCAGTTTTATAGTCACTTTGCACTCAACTTTTTTAACCCGTTGAATGTCGGTTTATAAGACACAATAGAAAATACATTGTGTCTCGCGTGGATCCACGTTTAAGACATACGAAAGGTTAAGCGTAGAACTCTTTTGCCACTTGCAATTATAAAATTAGCTTTGAGGAATCTTATCGTGACCACAGTCTGAGGCAGACTATACTTAAAAATAAATATTTCACAAATGGCCCAAATCAAGTGTGGCAGAGCCATGCTTCGGCACGAATGGGTCGGCTCGACCGGAGTGATACCACGGCCTCACAGAAACCCGGCGGGAAACAACCACAGCGTTGTGTTTCGCTGTATGAGGGAGGGCCAATTCTTTCGCACTAACAGGACTTTATGTTCGATCTACCGATACAATTATGGACCGTCATAGTCATAGAATTATTTCTATTGTAGTTTACGCACTATATGCTTCATTCGTTGTCCAATTTCGTTCAAGAAATATGCGAATTCTGACCGAATTTTTTACACCATTTTCTAAGCATAAAGTTTAGCTTAAGAGTTTGGGTTGAGATCTATTATTTCATTAATTTCGACTGTTACATACCTATATATAAACTACTACATAAAAGCAACTAAAAAATGAAGTTAATGTTTTACTACTTAAACCACAATCGCTCGTCCATATTCCAATACTAATCTACATACATTATAATGATTATCGCATTCCACTCCCATTAGCAACGACTTTCTCAAAACGTAACCTTATCAATCTTTAATTTTACTACACTCATCGCTCTTCTTACAAAGCCGAAAGTTTACGGAAAATAGTGTAAAAACAAACGAATGATAACATCAACGGTGACACGATTAGCAACTTAAATATGAGAACTGCAGTTATTTGTTAAAGATTTCAATGAAATCGACTTATTTAAGGTGTGATTCAATAATTTCGTTAAACTAGATAAGATTAAGAATGATAAGTCAGTATCGTGCCAGCTGCGACTCGGAATAGTGCCTAAACTTGCTACTATGAGCCCTCGCTCACAATAAATGTCCTGCTCCATTGAAATCGCTAAGCACCTGTTAAAAGGTACATAGAAAAATATTTGCATAAAGCCTGATAATTGGGTCATCCACCCTATAAACGTTTGGCCACGAAACCCGCTGACAATACGCTTAAATACTTCCATGTTGAATTTTTTTTTTTTTATAACAATTTAATTTATTCAACGGAAAGTGAATGTGGATTGTGTACGTGTGTTTATTAAAGTATATATTGATTACTGAGTGAGTGAATTGATCGTAAATGATAGTGCGTAGTTCAATGACCTGCTACCATTCGCTTAATCATTTGTAAAGACTTGTAAACACCACTAAGAAGTATTTATCAACAACAAACAATATATTGTGTATAATTACTAAACTATTTTAACGTGGTCTTCTCAGCATTTCACAAAACTATTCTTAAATGATTGTGTCTTCCATTGCTTCACTTTAAGTTTATTGAAAACAAATGTTATGGTTAGTTGTAGAATTGTGTTTGCTGAAGTATTTCCAAATATAACAAGTTTATCTTGTAAAAGGATTATCATAATTGCCAAATGGAATAAGAAAACAAACCTATAATTTAATTAGAACAAGATGGCGTTTGCCAATTGAAAATTGTTTTTTGAAAATTGTTCGTATAAAAACGCTAGTTTCGAGTCCACACCCTAAATTGCAATAGGATCGCGTGCTCAAAGATTAATGTTTTCCTTAAGTGACATGGATTTTAACCGTTTTACACGGAAAGTCACTAAATACATGCTACACTATCAACTTCCCCTTTTGTACTTAATGTTAGAGTTTTTATAGAAGCTATTTGATAAATTAAATATATGCCCTGTGGTGTTGTTGATACTTAAGTTTAATCACACCGGTGGGCTATTGTCAATTTGGCTAACAATTTTTAGATATTGAAGAAAACTATTTTTTTTTTTTATTATATTTTTCTAGCCTTTTTTGGTCTACTCTGAATCTAGTTACACCAATAGTGATTTGGAGACTTATTTACCATATTTTGACTTGAGAACTCATAATGTGTTTCTGTGTATTTCAGGAAGCATATACAGAAGAGGCGCTCGACGGTGGCGAAAGCTATACCGCGTCAATGGACACATCTTCCAGGCGAAGAGATTTAATAGAGTGAGTTTATTCACATATTTTTTATTACCTTACTTATTGGTTGAGTGTAGTTGAGATATTTTTATGGAATACCGGATTGACGTAAGGTAAGCAATCGACGCCGCCCATGGACAAACATAATACCAAAGGAGTTACTAGTTAGCTACAAGTGCTATGGGCGTTTTGTCAGTTATTAAGGATTTAAGCTGATGGGATGGGATGGGAGGGGGGAGGATTGGTCCACCGGTAATTCATGCAGGTTTTCTGTGAGGCCGTTGCATAACCCTGGTGGTGCCGCTCCATTCATGGATCTCCTACAGCTCAATCTCCCAAATATTACGTCTAATATTTGGGCTTTCTTTAACAAGACAAACGGCTTGTTATCTCACGTGCCTGGTTAGTCAGAAACCCAAAACAAAATTAAGAATAACTTCACTATTTCTAAGTTTCTAGGATTCCTCTAAACATCATGGCACTATTGCTTAACTGACATGTGTCATGGTGTCCGTGAAAGTATGAATCAAATTCAACAGGGGCACGTATTTTCCTAATATCTTCAGAAAAACTTATAATATTAATTATTTTATTTATACCTCTTTGACCTTAGCGAACGAATACAGCGTAATAACATAACTTCTTTCCTTCTTCCAGCGAGCCTTCTGTGCCTTCTGTCAGGACCGTATCTGGGGCCTGGGCCGGCAAGGGTTCAAGTGCATCCAGTGCAAGTTGCTGGTGCACAAGAAGTGCCACAAGCTCGTGCAGAAACCCTGCTCTAACGAACATGTTGACCCCATCGAGGTCAAGGACGATGCCAATGGGGAAAGCACACTGGGCCGAGCCTCCTCTGTTAGGTAAGAATTTGGTGAAAAAATGAAATCTGGTGGCATCAACTTTCAATCACAGACATTTGATGACGTTACAGATGAAATGGCATCAAATTTTATAATGGCGTAGTATTTATAAGCCGTTCAATGTTTCAACTTAGTAGCTCCAATAAATAATGCATACGTGTATGTTTGTGATAAGTTGATGAGTATTATAGGCAGGTGAATTTTTTTGTCAATTTCGAAATCTGTTTTTGACCACTATTGCCGCTATCTATCTTGCTTGGTGGTAAGCGGACGCGCTTAGTACACAAAAATCAGTATGCTTTCAAAAATAAATGGCAGAAACTAAAGTAAACCTTGCGTCGAAATCTTAAAACACTAATTGCAATGCAAATTGCACCAGGCGCCACGTATTGCCTATTGGTATGAGCAAATATCAACCTAATCCGCTTAATATTATGACACAAAACACTATCAAAAGGTTTATTAAAAACTCATTATTTTCATAAGAATTTCTTGCACATTCTCAGAATATCAGTTTTATCTGAAAGATAAATTGGATTATCTGTTAATCTGAAATTGCTATTTTTAATTATCATTTGTTCTCATTGTGGAATCAATTTAAGTTGAATGTTTTTTTGTCTCTGTCTATGCCGAATTTCATTCAGACACGTTCAGTAGTTTTTAGTGAAATGTGATAGAGTAACGGTTGTTACTAAAGACGGTTGCCCTTACTTAAGAACTAACTTGTTTATTATTTTAAGAGGTTAGTAGGATTATGAGAAAAAATCTTCATACGAAAGTAGAACATATCCATCTCTTGTTGACTGCACGGTTGGCGCGATGGCTGGGCAACTGGCTGCCGCGCAACGTGTCGCGGGTTCGTTTCCCGCACGGAACAATTCTTTGTGTGATCCACAAATTGTTGTTCCGGGTCTAGGTGTGATGTGTATGTGGAATTGTATGTTTGTAAACGCACCCACGACACAGAAGAAAATCCCAGAGTACGGCAACGTTTTTTAAAAAAACAAAAATCTTGTTATGCAATTTTCCGTACTAAATACCACATTCAACGCAAATTGTCTACAGTCAATAGTAAACAAAAATAAATAGACTAAACGTATTGTTGTAATAATCAACCACACGTTTACTCTAATTTGCACAAAAATATGTTTTGGGCTCCCGTTATCAGTATTTTTTCATAACCTTAACCTTCCGCCGATAGACACGTGAGCCAGCGACCAATGAATTCATTTGTAAATATGTATCAGCGTTTTAACAGCATTTTATGTGGCCAGTATCAAGATACCGTTGCCACAGAACAGTAATAATAAAAAAAATGGTTGTATAAAATGACGCCGTTTTTCAAAGTATTGTGTTTAAAATTGAAAGATATTTTTACTGTGATACGGATATTTAAGGATAAGTGTAGTGATAAAGTTAAAGTTTTGTTTTCAAAATGTGTGGTGGTGTGTAGGTCTCGCGCGGAAGTCGAGCCCCCGCTGCCGGAGACGCCGCCCGCCCCGGCGCCCGCGCCCCCTCGCGCCGACGAGCTGGAGCCTGGCTCGCAGCGCCAATACTCTCTCGACGATTTCGAGCTCATCAGGGTCATTGGACGAGGGTCTTATGCTAAGGTAAGCTTTCAACAAAAAATAGCTCGCATCAACGAACGACGAGAGTCGATATTTCCAGAAGTTCCCTGTATCTACTATTCGAAAAAAATCTTTTAAAAGAATCACTTACGATAACTAACACTACAAAAAAAAATAGCAAAATCTGTCTAGCCGTTCTCGATATTTGCGCTAAAAAACATTGTTAGCAAGTACCTAATGGGAATCACCATCAGTGATTCGTTAAGGAAATAGGAAAGTAATTGGTGATGAAACACCAACTTTCTCAAACAAGTTTCCCTACCTATGAAACTAATTTTCTGGTAGAAGCTACTCGCATAGCTGAGTGGCATGATTGACGATAACTGATCCTGGGTTCGAACACTTCGAACCTCACTCTCTTCATGGGTCGACATGTGCTTGTGTGAACCAGCAATGCATAATTTTGTAACCATATTTCCAGGTGCTCATGGTGGAATTGAAGCGCACAAAACGCGTGTACGCAATGAAGGTGATCAAGAAGGCGCTGGTCACAGACGACGAGGACATCGACTGGGTGCAGACTGAGAAGCATGTCTTCGAGACTGCCTCCAACCACCCCTTCCTCGTGGGCTTGCACTCCTGCTTCCAAACCCCCAGCCGACTGTTCTTTGTCATTGAATTCGTCAGGGGCGGAGATCTAATGTGAGTTTTGTAATGTTTAATTTCATGTCATGAAACCTGGCAAGTACCAACGTGACTTTTTCCCACTTATATGTACTTTCTAGATTATTTAGACACCACTGACATACGGTGAAGGTAAACATCGTGAGGAAACCTGCACTTATAATTTCTAATTATAAGCTTGAAATTGCCAACCCGCATTGAGCAAGCGTGGTGATTGATGCTCAAACCTTCTCCCTGTGAGAAGATGCCTTTGCTCAGCAGTGGGCACTTATAGGCTGATGATGAAGATGACTAATAACATGTTTTAACTAGTAATTTCTAGGGTTTTAAAATTTATTTTGGGTATTCAAGTAACAACAAGAGTTATTCCAGAGCAATAGATCTGCAGTTAAATAGTCGGTTATGGCAAAGTGTGTTAATTTTCTTCGTTTCCATAAAATTTGTCAGTTAAAAGCCGAAGTGTTATTAAATTGCTATTTTCATCGATAACAATCTCTCTTATAATACCTACTATGCAAAATCTTTCCAATCTAGTTGCGTTGACGCTAACATTCACTTCTCTTCTGACCTTTTTTTAAACTGTAATTTGTTTATATTCCCGTGTAGGTTCCACATGCAGCGCCAGCGCCGCCTGCCGGAGGAGCACGCGCGGTTCTACGCGGCCGAGATATCGCTGGCGCTGCACTTCCTGCACGAGCGCGGCGTCATCTACCGCGACCTCAAGCTCGACAACGTACTACTCGACCACGAGGGACACATTAAACTCACCGACTACGGCATGTGCAAGGTATGTAATCATTTTATGGATTTCATTAAACTCGGTCGGCAAACGAGCAGACGGATTACCTGATGGTAAGCAATCGGCGCCGCCCATGGACACCCGCAACATCAAAGGCGTTACGAGTGGGTTGCCGGCCTTTTGATAAAAGGGTTTCGGATATTTAAGGATTGGGATTTATTATACACAAACACATACAGGGTATAAAAAGACACTTAACGAAGCCGTTAACTACGCATACTGCAGTTCTAACTAAGTAGCCTTACGCTAAAATTATCACTGGGAAACGACTTTTAATTTTAGGTATCAAAAAAAATAATATTTTATTGCGCGCAATGTCATTCATCATTCATCATCATCATCATCATCATTGTGTGCGTAGGTTCACAGCTTAGCATTAAAACGCTGTGATAAGTACGTAGGTCAACGTTTTACTTCGCAACAACAAAACAATTGGGTAGTTTCCTAGGTCAAAAATAAATTAATTCGACTTTTCAATACAATAAAATATTGAAAAATAACTATACTTTTATTCATCGATCGATCGATACACTAAGTTTTAGATATTTTTAAGCTAATTTTTAAAAAATAAGTATGCTATTTGACGCAAAAATGCTATGACGTCATAATTCAATGTTTCATACAATTTTCATAGAAAAGTATCGTTTTTGACATTTGGATAAAAGTATTGAATTTGACTAGTTGGAAACAACCGTATTCTGTAAAATAAAAATCCTATCGAGATGCACGATGTTTTTTGTGCGGGTCTGCATTTATTTATTACGTACATTACTGTTCGTATCTTCAAATGCGTAATTTATTTAGAAAAATCGAAAATTCGGGTACTTAATATGGTTTAGAAAAAAGTTTTGTAATAATACCTAGAATTCGATTGCGCAAAATAGAAAAATTAAAAATGCATCTTTGACCTTCAATATCTCGAAAACCCGTGGAGTCCCAGCTATGGTATTAAAGAAAAAAATGATCCAAATAATGGGTAGAATACGTGGCTTTCGGCTTCGTTAAGTGTCTTTTTACACCCTGTATACACAACAATATGTTTTACTTTACCCACATTTTAGCATAGAAAAGACATCATTTTCATTACTTTCATAATGCATATAAAATTAATTAATAAGTTTACTGAGTAATTCATTCAGTTCGTAAAAATCAAAGTCAAAGTCGAAACATTTATTTCAAATAATATCAGACACTATTGAACGTAAAAAAATTACACTTAAACCTTTACCAAAATTGCAAAAAAGATATGTTTTCTTTTTATTAGGAAACATTTGGAGTTATAGGAGGAACTTGATTTTATAATTTGCATTAAAAAATTGTGATTTAAAATCCTTATTACAATGTATTAATTTCCGCCTTCAGGAAGGCGTACGTCCGGGCGACACGACGTCTACATTCTGCGGCACGCCGAACTACATCGCGCCGGAGATCCTGCGCGGCGAGGAGTACGGCTTCTCCGTCGACTGGTGGGCGCTCGGGGTACTCACGTACGAGATGCTCGCAGGACGATCGCCCTTCGACATCGCGCAGGCCGCTGACAACCCTGATCAAAACACTGAGGATTATCTGTTCCAGGTATGTGGGTCAATAATCTTTTAGTTTAGTCATCTAAAATGGTATTGATTAACTACTAATATTTCGATAACTACGTCAAATAATAAATACAAATGAAACTACCAAAATGTGTGAACGATTTTTTTAATTCACCATGCTAGCATATTTATTTACATACTTAATTATTATTATAACTTTCGTGAGACATACTAAAATAATTATTTTGTTTTCGGCTTACTCACGTAATTGTTTTGACGAGATACTCGACTAGTTTCAAGCCATGCTAGAGGCCCATATTCATGAGCAGCATTCCGCGACACGCGACTCGGCGACTGTCGCGCTGCTACTCTTGATATTTAATGCTTTTGAATAAAACTTGATATTTCGCCAGTCACTTGTATGACTGGATTACAAACGAAAAGTAAAAAGATGATTGTTTTTACATTGACTGTAAGTTTATTGAAAACTAGCTACTTCCCGGTTTTACTAGCTGCTCGGCTCCATTTGATTGTAGCGTGATGTTTTATAGCACTCGGGAATATTTAAGCTATCAGTAAGTGAAAGAATTTTGGGAATCCGACCAGTAGTTCCAAAGATTACTCCCTACATACAAACTTATAAAATTGACCTCTCTATAATATTAGTATAGATAACGACTTATTCGCGTGAACTTCTTAAGAAAAGCTGTTGCAGTTTCAAGTCACAACGTGACTCTTATTCATGAGAAGCGACCGTAACACACCCTGACTCTAAGTGGTCTTAATAAAAAATATACATATGTCTGAATAAACTTTGACTCATTCCTCGCCCTTGTTTCCAGGTAATCCTAGAGAAGACGATCCGTATCCCTCGTTCACTGTCAGTGAAGGCGGCCTCGGTGCTGAAGGGCTTCCTCAACAAAAACCCCGTGGAGCGACTCGGCTGTGGAGAGAACGGGTTCCTGGACATCGTCTCACATCCCTTCTTCAAGAGCATCGAGTGGGAGATGGTATGTTGAACTGATAATAAATCTTATATATAAAAGTCAATTGCTGTTCATTTGTCTCCATAAAACTCGAGAACTGCTGGTCCAATTTGGCTAATTTTGGTCTTGAAATGTCTGTACAAGTCTAGAGAAGGCTTAAAAGCTCAGATAATTAATTATTGGAATTTGAGGCGGTACGATGTATGTCCCCGGTGAGTTAGTAAAAAATAAATAATTATTATGTACTAGCTGCTCTCGCGCAGTTTCGCTTGCTGCTACATATCCTAGCGTGATGTTTTATAGCCTTCAATTCCAACCAGTAGTTCCGAAGATTAACGCTTTCAAACAAACAAACTCTTCAGCTTATAATATTAGTATAGATAAAAAATAATGTTGATTTTGCCATCTATTTCATAGTAGCTCTGCCAGGCACAATTCAGACCTTTTTTTGGAAAAAAAACTAAATTCAATTTTTATTGTGTAAACTCATTACTACATCACCATGCAGTATTTATATCGCCGCAACGTATCTATTTATCACGTAACGTCACGAGTTTAAAAAAACATAAATATTTTTTTCTCTAATATAAATGTTATATTTGGTGGACAGTTGGAGCAGAAGCAGGTGGTGCCCCCGTTCAAGCCGCGCCTGGAGGGCGAGCGCGACCTGGCCAACTTCCCGCCAGAGTTCACCGACGAGCCCGTGCATCTCACACCCGATAATGAGTTAGTCACATTAGTTACATACTCACGATACAATACCGCCGACGTATCTTGGAGAGTCTGAAGTTAGCTGATTAGCTGGGCAGTACACAATTTTGTTCCTAAAACATCCATTGCGCAGACAAACGGCTAACTTGAGACTCGCCAAGATACGGCGGCCGTACTGTTCGTTTCCATAAACTTGTATCTATAGATTGGTGTAGGTGTACGCCTACTTCAAATATACAGATATAATTTTGCAACATTCTTTATGGAGCTTATATGTCTAAATACGGCAGCTTACAACTAGTCAAATTCAATACTTTTAATGAAATGTCGAGAACTATATGACCTGCATGTTTTTTTAATAATTTTTTCTTGATTTTATTCTGTTTTAACAAGAAATTGTGAACTACTTGTTTCTGAAAAAATTGCTGTAAAAATCTATAAAAAATAATACGAATGAAAGTATGATTATATTTCAATAATTCTTTATATTAAAATAAATTATTAACTAGGATATTCTTCAGTATTGCTTTCCGAAATTAGCTGTTACTCAAGTATAAAAAATATTATAAATATAAAAATTCTTCTACTGTAGCTTTACATGTTAAATTATGGGAAGTTTTAACACAAGCGTTCGTGTTTTCAGTACGGTGATCGCGGACATCGACCAATCGGAGTTCGAGGGCTTCGAGTACGTGAACCCACTCCTCATGTCCCTCGAGGACTGCGTGTGACACCACGCCTGTCTGCTGCACCCATACCACGATCCCGCGCAGGTACCTCCTCTACACTACTCAGTCAATCACTCACTCACTCACTCACTTACTCACTTACTCACTTACTTAAATATCTACTTAACTATTCGCCACTCATTAATGGCGGCTGAAACCAAAACTTATGTTAAACGTTAACGTTAATTGCATATCTTTTCTATCAGAAACTTAGATCGATCCAAATTTAAACCTAATTGATCACTCACTCACCCTCTCATTCACTCACTCATTTATTCGCTTACTTACTCACTTACTTACACACTCACTCATTAACGCATTCGCTCGTTCACAAACTCGACAATTTACCAATTCAATATCTCAGTGACCCGTCTACGCGTCACTCTCCTACCATTTATTATTTAGTTAACCATTACTAAAACGCAACGTTATCCCCACAGACATATGGGTACGGTGCAGAGTCGTCGTCGTCGGACTACGACAGTGTATGCAGCGAGCTGCCCCCGCGCAAGCCGACGCTACTGCAGCACATGTTCTGCTTGCCCCTCAACTGACACAGGACTCCCCGCCACGACAAACAGGACAAACACGACAAGCGATACTGATCACCACGCGTAACCGAGATGAAGCCATTGATTATTATAGCTTAAACTTAATTATTCTATTATTGTTTGAATAGAGGCCTTTTGAGACACATCCACAAATCTATTCCAGTACTTTACATTGGAAATGTTACTATTTCTGCGCTTTCAAAGTTGGACAGAAAAAGTAATATGTCTGAACTAAAGTTAGGTATTATGTCATAATATGATTTATTGATTTTAACAGTTAAATTATTAAAAAAATCTGCTTTCTGGAGAATTTGGCTCTTTATTAAAAATGTCTCGTGGCGGTTTATAAATTGATAATGTCGTGAAAATATCGCGGTAAACTGCTATCCTAAAAGGGGTACAGACAGAATTGTCAGTCTTGCAGATAAATATTAGTATAATAATATAATTACTTATTTAAATTATAAAAACTTTTTGACGATTACATTAAATTTAAATAATCGTTATAATGATGAGTAATAAATTTGTAAATATGTATGTATGATATACAAGATGATTTCAAAACTTCGAACACGGCATCAGCTCGTTAGAAGTCGTAGAGAAACATTCAAAATTATATATAATAATACTCTTCTCAAGGCTATACTAAATTAGAATAAATTTAGAAATAAATTGTATTGATATTTGGATATTTTATAACGCACACAACGTGCCAATGTAAGCACAATGTTAGGTATCAATGGCTTCTCTCTTCGCTTTAATAAATTGATCATATTTTGCTTAAAGCACACTTTCTTCTAAACATTAGCGTCATTAGCTAATTCATAACTAAATAAAATACAACAGAAATATTATAATTGTTATCGTTATTCGAGAAAATCTTGTAATTTGTATTAACAATAATTTTAATGTTTTCGAAACCGTTCTAAAGTAATGGTGATTTGTTAAAATTTCACGAAACACGATTTTAAGTATTTGAAAAGTATTATTTTTATGTAGTCTATGTAAAATTATGAGATGTTATGTAAAATCGTTTGAAACTTAAATATTTATTGTATATTATATAGAAATGTACTTATTTTATTGTTATATTGTATATTTAACGGTTTTAAGTATTGTTAACATTCCCTGTACTCCAGAACAAATGTATAAACTCAGATCTGAATTTATTTATTACTTAAAGGAATTGATATTGTGTTACCATCATCAAAAACGAATTTTGTCTACAGTTAAACTTGGAGATTTTATAAAATTGTGGGCTAAGCGTGCATGTCTAAGTAGCCAATGTTGGTGCTCATAATGTACGTACACGTGTACGAACATTACGCTTCAATATAGCTAGGGAGCTGAACACTATTTCCTATAATTAAAAAATTAGATCACTTATTACTACGTCGTACTAGGACGGGTTACGCTTCTGTAAATAAATTAAACAAATTTATTCATCTATATATGATTATACTTAACTTACTATACGAAAAAATATTATAAGACTTAATATTTTTGAAAGTTCTATCTTCACCTTTCTATGAGAAAGGCAACGCGATTGTGACATTCGTGCCGCCATTGTGCCTCTTCCAAACACCGAGCTACGGGCGGCCTTGTCCGCGATCGTGTTTCTAAATCATTGTTTTTTGAGCAATAAACTATAATATATAGTAGTCTAATATAAATTATATGTAATATTGTAATTACGCGAGTCTGGTGAATCGCTCAGTGAAAGGCACGTAAGGAATTAAAAGTAGTTGAAAAATTGATGACCGATTGGTCTCAGGTACTTGTTTATAGCCCTTATCGAACGTTAGTGTATTCCCTAGTTACCTAGACTTAAGCTAGATTTGTAGCTGTAATACCTATTGAGCGGGATTGTGCGCGGCATCTCGAATCTTTACATATACTGTACATTTGTTTGAAAATAATTTTAATTTTGAATGCGATTTGTATAGCTGTGTTCTATTGTTTAGTTTGTTTTCGTAATGGTTTTGTTATCAGCGTGTACATAGGCAGGGACGTTGCCGCGCGCTTTCCCGCCCCTTTTGTAATACTCTGAGAGGCGTAGACAGTGATCAAACTTATTCTTATGTATTAGTGATCTTCTACTATAATACTTATATATCCCGGTCACTGCCCTCGCCTCTCTCTGTATCGTATATTCCATTCCCTAATGTAGTCTGTTGTCCTTCATAGCTAATCACCACTCGATTAGGTAGCCAACGAATTTTATAATAAAATAAAATATATATATAATATTGAGCACTGAAACAAATTTAAAATCGTGTACATTATAAACAAATTAACATGAAATAAATATTCGTAAATTACATCGGTTATATTATAACAAATTATTGTTAATGTAGAAGAAAAGACTTATTAAATAAAATGATTGTAATCGTAACGGATCGCGTGGCGGTGCGCGTCGTAGCCCGCAGAGAGCTCAAGTGTCCACAAACTATTCTAAATAGTGCGTAGTACCTATCTATTAGACATTTTGCACCGATATTATATTATAGTCCAACACGTGTCGGCGCGCACTGTGTCTGTCGGGTCGGTCGGGTCTTGTCGGGTGTGTCGGATCTGTCGGGTGTCGGAACAAACCAGTGCTATTGTGTTGTGGCCGACGACACGACCTCGCGTCTGCCTATACCTAGGTTTCTTTGTATAATTTATATTGTTAAGTATTTAATTATTCGTAAGCGACAGTATTGTGGTACTATTAACGCTTTAGGTGTAATTAGTTAACATTCCATGTATCGGCACGCGTGCCACTCGAGTAGATCGCATCCTTACAATATGTTCTCATATTTTCTCTTACAATTATTGTCAGATTGCACGTTAAGTTTGAATGTTTTATTACCAAAAAATATTGTAACATGTATTGTAATAAAAATTACTAACCGCATGACAAGTGACATTTTAACAATTATATTAGTTTTAAGAGGAATTGTTAAACAGTTACATTTCACTAGAACAAACCTATGTATCTTAGTTGTAAGTATTTTTAGTTAGTCGCATGTATATTCCCCGTTTACGGTAAGGAATGGATCATAAATTTTTACTAAGATTATGTAAAAGTTATTTAGTTTCGGCCGTGCATCAAATTGCCACCGACGGTAATATGTGCGGTACTTAATGTTTATTTGAATTTCGCGGTGCGTGAGTGAGACACACTGTCAAATTAGACTGGAGAAATTGGGATACTGTAACTATTCTATGCTTAACTGAAAATAAAGAAGATTAATCTGATTCCTTTTGTTTCATTTGCCGTTGTTTTTAAGTTTTCACCCGCTGCTCAGCTCGTATTTGATCGTAGCGTGATGTTTTATAACCTATAGCACTCAAGAAGCTATATTATAGCTATCTATCAGTGAAAGAATTTTGGCAATCCGCCCAGCGGTTCCAAAGATTACTCCCTACATACAAACTTAGAAACTTACAAACATACAAACAATATTATTAATCGCTATGCGATATTATACTTATTATACGCTACAAACTTTTTTATATGCGGCAGCCTCCGTTTGCTTTACCGCTTAGTGATGATTTTATCAGTGTCACCAGAATGACTTTCATGAAGATATATATATCGAGGACCTTTCGAACCAAGATTGGGAATATACCTTTGGGCCCGCAAGCTAGCCCTAAACCCCCTTCTTATATTTTTTCCTTTATTTTTTTAACTAGATCAGCATCAGTCTGTCGAAAAGGCTTTTTTGTGAGGGGAAAATCATTAAATGACTTCTCGCCCAGGGCCGGGCGGGACGGAGTGTCAGGCTCTTGCTGACTAAAAACCCCCCTGTTCCTTCTCCTGCTCTGGGCCGAGGTCGCGGTACCTCATTGCGCCATTGCGCTTACCCCGCAACCCCGGCCCAAATATCAGCCCTTTAGGGCCCCGTCTGTGGTGGTCTATTGGCTCTTTGAGGCGCGCGCGGAACGCTACGTGCTGTGCGCTCGGGTCTGGTTCTGGTCGAGTAGCGAGCTACCCTTACTCGCCGTCCGCAGACCCGCAGTTTACCTGTAACTCGTTATGTATTGCGAATGTCTATGGGGAGCGCCAATTACTAATAAATGTGAAGTAGAACGAAATACCGTCCTATTCTCGAAGTTACAATGATAAATACCTACATACTAACAAGAGACAAAAAAAAAGCAACACTTCCATTAAAAAATCACTTTATTTCAACATAATAGCACACAGGTTACAATAAATCAAAATAAAATCCCCGCCGTTTGAAATTACATCAAAATTTGAAGGCCATCGCCTTAATGTAGGGAAAACTAATGATACATTACACTTTCTTACAAATAGTATAATGTAACCCTATTAACCAAATGTGCTTAAATTCTGTAATCAAATAACTAAATAAATGCTCGAAAAACTTATTTAAATAACTGAGAATACTGAGATTAGATGAAATTCTAATTAAACATTAAAATACTGTCGTACAATAAATTAATGAATTCTATTTTTACATGTATAATGTAATACTGAAATGCGAGATTCTACTTTGAAATGGAATGTCATCGTTAGGTGATGAATTATATATTATTTTTATTTATATATAATGTAACTTTGACATATTTTTGGTATTCCATTCAGGACGGGGTGGGATGAAAGGCTTTCTACGACAAAAATTTTACTATACAAATAGTAAGTACATTTCAAAGTTGTCAATTTACAAATATTAGTTAAAATCGAGCGATTTTATTACACATTGGAAAATCACGTAATATTTGGTACACGATCCGAACTTTATACAAAAGTGGAAACATTAAAGTAACAATTTTACGAAAAAAAAGATAGCAAAAATAAAAAAGGTACTTTAAATTGAGTACCAATTCGTGTCTACACTTTCGTTAAATCGGACCTTAGATGTTGAACATCGTTATCGTTATAAAAATAAAACTTGCCTAGTTAAGTGCCTTAACGATAAAACGACAAACATTGATCACACAATATCACAGAACTTAAGCCAAATAATTGATACTAAAATGAAGTGCAAGTGCTAAATACACGCAAACTAAATAATTACTATCCAGAGCAGAAAATGAAATAAAAAATAATTTAAAACACGCTTTTTTAATAAATAAATCTTATGACAAGCACCGAAAGTACATTTTTAAAATGTAATATTAAAATAAAATTTTGTATTCGAGGAATAATCGATACTTTAAAGACATCCATCGTATGAATAATAAAAACTAAGATATTTTTTGTTTTAAAAACAAATAATACTGCTGAATTATGTTTGAAACACAATAAAAGCATTATAATACTGGGACAATACTTTTAAAATTCGGAAACTTGGAGATTCCTAGGCACATAACCTAACAACATAATTTTATGTATTCTACTAATCGTATATTGGCAGAAAGAATGTGCCTTTAAAGTACCAGAAATCTAATCACAAAGTATATACCTAATACATAAATTATATAACACACTAGGACAATACCTACATATAATATTCACTATAACTAAATGACCAATGGCAGTAAGATATTATCATGAATACTGCTCATGAATAGTTTTGTGCCACGCAAGTGCGGTGAACGGTGATTACTGGTTCGGTGAATGGTGATTACTGTGTTGGAGAGTGGTGATTAATGAGTTGTGAGTGGTAAATGGTGATTTACTTGTCACCGTTCTCGTGTGTTAGTTTCTGCTTCTTGTTGGGTGGCGAGTTGAAGAGGGCGCCGCTGTGGAGTTCCTTCATGAGGAATGGTACCTGGGGATGATAAAAAATTTGTTTATATTCAGTCAATAATTTTCTTGAAACTTTACATTATATAGTTAGTAAAAGTTTTTTAAGTCCAATCACTGACCACTTTCAATTGTAGTAAACTCAACTCAAAAAGCATCTCAAAGCACGGAAATAAAAACAAAAAATTGTTACTTTAATAAACAAAAGGTTAACTAAAAAAATGATGTATATAATGGTCAACTAATGGGTAACACAATGGAACATTCTGTTTTAATTATATAAGGGCAGTAATTATATTTATTATTTTCCTATCGGTAGATAACTAACTAAATGTAGACAATCCTGGCATGTTTTTTATCCAAAAGTTATCTGAAAACAACAACAACAATAACAATGTTTACAATCAGGCATTCGCCTAAGTCGAAGTTAGCTTATTAACTTTAAAATAATCTTTGTCTATATTTTATACGTCCTTTTAAATAAAAAAATAAAATTTCCAAAATTTGTACTTTAGTTTTACCTTTAGTTAACCACCTAAGCTGATTGACCATAGTCGGGCTTTCCTGAATTCTGAAAATATTGTGCAGATATTAATATTTAAATTACCTTATGTTCAAGGCCGAGGTTGTTATTTGGCGGTAATGCGAGTGCGGCGCGGAGTAAGTTGTCGATGTTGGCGCGTTGTTTGAAGAGAGCGTTGACGACGGGCGCGCCGCTCGCCACCAGCGGCGCCTTCAGTAGGTACGCCAGCGGGGACAGTACTGCGTGCAGCCGGACGTATGCTGGGTAACAAATTAATACAATAATCGTATAAATATTACTTAGTACAAAGAAAATCAGGTCTTTATTACACTTGCGACTAAATAGTAAAGATAATCTTTTAAAGAAATGTACAACCTATCTTCAAACAAAACTTTTTCAAATAATGGTTTGGAGAGAGCAAACCATGCTTTTGCTATAAAAATATTGATGTTGATGATGATACAGACAAAGACAATGGAACGCTGAATGACGTAGTTCCAGCGTACCTCTTTCGCTTTATGTATATTCATCAATCAATCCTAGACCTGATGTGGATTGTACCCAATGAAGGCAAGTCAAACTCCTTGTCCTCCACAAAATGATTGTTAATTATTTTGGCTCGCTCACCTCTAATGGGTTCACAGCTGCGTCCAATCGCAAACTTATCTAGTTTACCTTGCGGAGAACGCGGCTTTACTAGATCCCTGTATAGTAGAATTCCGTATCCCGCCCGTCCCCGCCCCCACCTTCATATAGTGACTATATTATAGTCAATCTTGAATCCTTACATTCCCAAAAAGCTGGCAAAACACTTGTAACTTCTTTACTTATTGCGATCGATTACCTAGAGATGACCCGTTTGTTCGGTAGCGTTATATGAAACATATCGTGTCTCGCGTAGATCTGCGCGCGGTATATTACGGATTAAGCAAACAATACTTACAATTGTCAGTCTCGCGGAAGGCCAGCCGGGAGAAGAGGTCGGCGAGGAGTACGAGGTCGAGTATGAGAGGCACGGCCAGCAGGGAGTCCTCGCACGTGTTGTGCACTACGATGGTGTTGGTGCCGTGCAGGAGGATCTCCGACGTGTACTCGTCCATCGCGCGCTTCGAGTCTCCTACAACGTCGAAAGGTAGCATTAGTGGCCGATATTTACAAAAAACTCACGACTTTTTTTAATAAATTCACATACACTAAGTGTGGGACAGCCATGCTTCGGTACGAATGGGTCGGCTCGACCGCAGTGATACCACCGCCTCACAGAAAACCGGCGTGAAACTCACAGCGTTGTGTTTCACCTTCGCCGAGTAAGTGAGGTTAGGTACTGGAAGCCTAACCCTGCCCCATCCCTTCCCAATCCTTAAATATCCGAAACCATTCTCCCCAAAAAGCCGACAGCGTACTAGTAACTCCTTTAGTTTTGCGGGTGTCCATGGGCAGCGCCGATTGCTTACCATCAGGTAATCCATCTGCTCGTTTGCGCTATACCATAAAAATATTAAATTCATGGAATGCAAATATTGAAACAGCTTGCTCAATGCGGATTGGATTTTCATTTCACATGTGTTGATAATTGTCGCCGATTTTCTACTCATTTTGGCTCATGCATATAGTATAGAGTATACTAGCAAGCGTGGTGATTAATGCTCAAACATACTCCGTATGAGACGACGCCTTCGCTCAGCAGTGAGCACTCATAGGCTAATGATGTGATGGAATATGAATAAATAATTTGCAAATTTTTTATTGCAAATGAAATTGGACGTTAACTCACCGACATATGGTACATATTTGATGACGACCACGTGGTCTGGTTTCTCGCCCGGTTTGTACAGAACCTGGTTGGACTCCACCATGTCGTCAACCACGTTGCTCTTTGTTATCTGTGGACAATTATAAAAAAAAATCGAGTTTATTCATCAAACAACTGTTCGCTAATTGTCTTATGATTGTGAGTGAAATCTAAACCTTGAATCCCTTAACCAACACTTTTCTTCTTCGCCCTACATCAATGGCTTTA